TATTCATATCTTCACAATCATCATCATTCTTCGTTGGTTCATCCAAGCTTACGGTCATGATAAGCACAATGGCCTTCTCATTATTTTCAGAGTCAGAATCACTGTCACTCCAAGTAGTATGCAGTGCCTTATTCTTCCCATCCTTTTGTTTCTTTAAGGTGTTGGCACATTCCGAAGATATGTGTCCATAGCTTTCACATTCGAAACATTGGACCTTTTTCTCTTAGATTTTTTCGTTTGACCTGCGAGATTTAAACATACCATCAGTATAGTCACCAAACCTATTTTTAGAATTTATACCTTTTGAATCTCGACTCCTTGGATCCTGATTCTTGGGAAAGTTCATGAATCATTTTGTGAGAATCGTTAATTCCTCATCACTACAATCCTCATTTGAATGCCCATCGTCTTCTTCATTCACAACTTTAAAAGCAACACTTTTGCTCTTTTTAGGAGCTAGATGTTTCATCTCATAAGTTTGTATGGACCCTATGAGTTCTTGAACTTTTAAGGTGTTTAAGTCATGAATCTCTTCAATAGCCGTGATCTTTGGTTGAAACTGTTGAGGCAAGGATCTTAAAATCTTTTTCACATATCTTCGGGAATTTTTTCACCTAAACTTGAACACGCATTTACAATGATGCAAAGTTTAGCATAAAATTCAGAAATAGTTTCATTCTCATCCATCATGATTGTCTCAAACTGTAAAGTGTGCATTTGAAGCATGGCTCCCTTGACAATATTTGTTCCTTCATGAGTAACTTGCAAAATATCCCAAGCTTCCTTAGAAGTATCATAACCAAATATATATTCAAATTGAACGGAAGAGACAGCACTAAATAAAGCATTTAACCACTTTTGATTATTAGTGCTGTGTTTGACTTCTGCAGTGGTCCACTCATCTCTAGTTTTGAGGACTGTGGTTTCTTCATCTCCTTTTCCGATCTTCTTTGTGGGTTTAGGAAATCCATGAACCACTGTATTCCATACACGTTCATCTAAGGACCAAAGAAACGACTTCATTTTGGCTTTCCAAGCGCTATAGTTGTTGCCATCGAAATATGGTGGATGTGCAACATAACCCGCGGCACGATCCATCCTAAGGTATGTCGGATCTTGCTGAGTATGTTCAACAACCTACTCTGATGCCAATTGAAATTACTTTTAGGATGACTAAAAAATGCCTAAAGGGGGGGTGAATAGGCCAATTTAAGATTATAATCAATAAAGAAAAAATAAACTTCAGTAGCAACATTGATATGGCTTATCAATCCTGAAACGTGCTGAGTATAAAATAAAAGAACATGTAAAAAATTATTTTACATGATAAAACCCCACCTATGGGGAAAATATAAGGGACTCATCAGTCCAACACGAATTCACACTAGAACGATGATTACAAGAAGTACTCACACACTTATCCAAGACACGTTCTAGATATGTTTACCGACTTCTTCGTAACTCAACTTCTATCACGAGATGATCTTTGACACTCCTTATGTTGAAAGCAATACTGGTCACAATTGCTTCAAGCTCGCCGGAGGAAAACCGTCACCACGGTCTTGGTGCCCTCAACCAAGGATTAAAATATCAGTCGTGGAGATAATATCGAGCCTCCAATTTATGGATATTTTGGGGGATATATCGTTATTGTTTTAGGTATCAGGAAAAAATCAATAAAAATTATAGATATAGGCATTGAAATACATAATTTTGGTGTAAAACTTTCATAAATGTTATATACATTATCAATGAATGTATTGAACAAATAAAACTCAAAATTTACTAATAATAAGATATACATATGATGAAATATAAGTGGTATGTAATGTGCATTAATGAAAAGTTTGAAAATAAAATGTTGATTAAAATGAATAAACCATGCATAAATTCATAGTTTGTTTAAACATTGGATTACAATTTAAATAAGTGTCCATCTATATAAATGAAGAGCTCCGATGAGGTTCAAACAATGAAGAACAACCATCTAGATTCAAACAATAGTCACACCAAGTCATGTAACCCGAGTAGTCTTTGAACATGGTGCATATAGATCCCTCTTGAGCTCCCTACTGTCCTCCCATATATGGGATAGATAGGATTATCCCAACTAGTAGGTACATAATATGTTTTATCATCTTGAGCTCCATAACTAGTTCCACTATAATCAAATATGAAATAACCATAGCCATAATAAGATTCATTTGAGTTAGTACCTAGTTCCTATGCTCATAGACTGATCGCCATGTCCTCTTCAGATGGATTGGAGGTATGTGGGCAATGGACTATGCATAGATTCTTCATATTAATAAATTATAGGGTTCTAGGCAAGGATTAGCTATTTTTGGGTTTCAATTTGCTTCAATTGCCTTCAAAACTTCTTTAAAAAAATTGGGTTATGTTATGGGTATAGGGAAATATCGGCAAAATATTGGGGATATCGCACTTATCGAGGATATATAGTCGATACAGGGGAAGATATGGCCTTACCCTCTAATATTGGTGTCGACAGTTGAAAATACCGATATATCGGTGTATTGGCCAATATTTCAATCCTTGCCCTCAACCGTATGAGTCACCGAACATGCATATGAATGATAAAAGTGTTTGATAAATCACCAAGTAAACATGGAACACTTGATGATTTATCTCAAATAAAAACTGAGCTTTCCAAAGTTTATGGATTGAAAATATGATCGTGAAAGCTCTCCAAACAAAGAAGACAAAGGTACGTTTTCTTTACAAGAAAGAAAACACGTTGAAAACCAAATTACTTGATTTGCACGATTTGAATAAAATCAAAAACATATTTTCCTATTCTAATTATGATCACACTTAAAGCCCAAAACCAATAGGAAAGTAAAAACCCAAAAAAGGAAATTTATGATAATCTCACCATTAAAGGAGTCCTAATATTCTTAGGTCAACTACCAAGAATATCTCAACACCTTTAATAATGTGATCTTATCAAAACTTGAAGTAAATTACTTTAAAAGATAAGTAACAAATCATGGATAAGATAAAGAAAGAATAAGTAAAAAGATATTGCAAAATATGCCTAAATGAGATACACTCCTAAATGCATTATAATTAATTAAAATCAAGGAAGATCAAGGAAATAAAATTATATTAGATTCCAAAAAAAAAAAGGTTCCTATTATGAGTGCACGAAAAATGACATATCTTACCTTTCAGATCAAATGTCTCATACATGTTAAGTCACAATTCTGGAATCCAGGATTAATGAGCTGTTTCAATCCTACAGTTTCTGGAAATCAGAGACATCAACTTTGCTTCAAACCTACAGCTAAATGACACTTCCAAAACAATACTAAGTTCTAGTAAATGCCAACACAATTTCATACTAACAATAATTAAGGTGACGTCAGTTGGGTCCATCTAATTATTTAGCTTGGGCTGACCAAAGAGCCACATGTGGCTTAATATTTACGAATTGGCCTAATGAGTAGCCCTCCCTTTTTTTTGTAACCCTTTTTGTAGCCCACTCTTGGAGATGAGTTTTGGGAATTTTGGACAATATTTGAATTCTTGAGCCACAAGCAATTGTGTTCTATTTCTGGTCAACAATGCTGGCCTCTTTCCAGTCCCTTAATTCATGCATCCAAAACCAGAGCTATGGCATTCTTGATTTTAGAGCAAAAAAATACAGTAAGATCAGAAGCTATTGTGTGAAATGCAAAAGTAGTCTTGATCGAACTTTAGATGAAGAGAAGGGTGGCAAAAGGAAGCTTAAAATTCTAATTGCAGGTGGGGGTATTGGGGGCCTAGTTTTAGCATTGGCATCAAAACACAGAGGATTTGAGGTAGAGGTGTTTGAGAAAGACCTGAGTTTAGTGAGAGGGGAGGGACAACACCGTGGACCGATTCAGCTTATGAGTAGCGCTCTGGCCGTGCTGGAAGCCATTGATGAGAATGTTGCAAAACAAATCATGGAAGCAGGTTGTGTTACTGGCAATAGGACCAATGGCTTTGTAGATGGAGTTTCGGGTGAATGGTAAGCCTGCTGTTATTGTTAAGTAACTTTTTCACTTTGGTTCCGCTTGTTAGATAAGCACTCAACCCAAAAGGCTTAAGCTTTTATATCAAACCAACACCCTCCTTCCTGATGTGCATATAATTATTAACTGCAGCCTCACCCCCGTACCTTGCAAACCAACAAAGAAATTGGAGCTTACCAAAGCTTTGATACCATATTAGACAATCACCAGACCCCGAATGCTTATTCGGTTAGGAATGGGCCAACGATGTGAGCCTGCTGCTATACTATACATGGACATAAATTGGATGCTGTATAAAAGAATCTATTTGTTTACTTCTCCAAGTAAGTGTATAAACAATAATATCCTCGATATTTCGTGATTTATCGAGAATTTAGACTATGATTTCAATGGAGGTGCCTCCAACATCATAGCTAAGGTGACGTCAGCTAAGCCCATTGAATTATTTAGCTCGGGCTAGGCAAAGGGCACATGTGGTCTAATTTTTAGGAATTGGCCTAATGAGTAGCCCTCCCTTGTAACTCTGTGTAACCCGCTCTTGAAGATGAATTTTGGGGATTTTAGGCTATATTTGAGGATATAACACTTGCTTCGTATTTTGCAAAAACCAAAGACAGCAAGCATTGATTTTTTTAACATATCGTTCGGTACACCACAATAAATAAGTAAGGTTTCTGTCCTCCTGATCTGGTCTTAAGCACATGGTAATTGACTTTCTGACTTGTTTGATTTGAACAAGCTCCTTTCCCCAGTTATTTACACCACTTTCTGGGCAGGACGGTAGCTAAATAGAAAATTTAAAAAAAACCCATGTACATACATAATTATGGGATTTTATGAATCATGACAATACCAAAATTAGTTTTATTTTATTTTTTATCTTTCATGTTATATGATCAGTTGGCTGCTACATATACATATGAATTATTGAGCTCTAAACAATTTTGATCATCCTATTTCTATTAATATTTCTGGTCAACAATGCTGGCCTCTTTCCAGTACCTTAATTCATGCATCCAAAACCAGAGCTATGGCATTCTTGATTTTAGGGCAAAAAAATACAGTAAGATCAGAAGCTATTGTGTGAGATGTAAAAGTAGTCTTGATCCAACTTTAGATGAAGAGAAGGATGGCAAAAGGAAGCTTAAAATTCTAATTGCCGGTGGGGGTATTGGGGGGCTAGTTTTAGCATTGGCAGCAAAACACAGAGGATTTGAAGTAGAGGTGTTTGAGAAAGACCTGAGTTTAGTGAGAGGGGAGGGACAACACCGTGGACCAGTTCAGCTTATGAGTAGCGCTCTGGCCGTGCTGGAAGCCATTGATGAGAATGTTGCAAAACAAATCATGGCAGCAGGTTGTGTTACTGGCAATAGGACCAATGGCTTTGTAGATGGAGTTTCAGGTGAATGGTAAGCCTACTGTTATTTTTAAGTAAATTTTTCACTTTGGTTCCAACTTGTCAGATAAGCACTCAACCCAAAAGGCTTAAGCTTTTATATCAAACCAACACCCTCCTTCCTGACATGCATATAAGGATTAACTGCAGCCTCACCTTTGATACCATATTAGACAATCACCAGACCCCGAAAGCTTATTCGGTTAGGAATGGGCCAACGATGTGAGCCTGCTGCTATACTACACATGGACAGCAATTGGATGCTGTATAAAAGGATCTATTTGTTTAGTTCTCCATTTAGTTAGTTTTATTTGAGAAATTTTTCAAGTGATTTCTTAGTTTTTGTGTCCAGTGCTCAATATATAGATGTTTCTCTAAATCAAGTGCTCAATTGTATCCTCTCTTTTTTTATTTTATGCTTTTTGGTTCAGGTTTACCAAGTTTGATCTTTCGTCTCCGGCTGTAAGTAGGGGGCTGCCTATCACTCAAGTGATATGCCGGATGGAGCTTCAAGATATCTTAGTCAATGCAGTCGGATTGGACATTGTGAGAAACAATTCTGAAGTGGTGGACTTCATTGAAGAGCCTAGCAAGGTTGAATTAATTTTTGACTAATATTCTAGTTTCTAAAACTTTTCAGAAACCAGTACAAATTCCTCAACTTCTTTCTGTGGATTATTAATTAGGTCACGGTGATCCTTGAAGATGGACGACAATATCATGGTGATGTTTTAGTAGGAGCTGATGGAATATGGTCAAAAGTAATTTCTCTCTTAATCCTTGAGCCATCTCCAATGTATGCCCTTTTAAACTTCATAATTATTTTTGTTTTCTTTTCATTTTTTTACCAGGTGCGAACGAAATTATTTGGCAGACAGGAAGCAAAATACTCAAATTACACATGCTACAGTGGAGTAACAAAATTTGTTCTGCCATGCATTGATAGTGTTGGGTATATTATATGTTACCTGGTTCATATTGACAAGCTGAATTTAAAAAAATGGACAAAAAAAAGTGTAAAAACTCAAAAATAAAGTTAGTAGATGGATGGTTTTGATTCATTATCTGCGCGTTCTTGATTCGTAGGTATCAGGTCTTCTTGGGATTGAACCAGTACTTTGTTGCGTTAGATATTGGGAATGGGAATATGCAATGGTTTGCCTTCCATAAGCAGCCGCCTATGAGCACTGATCCTCCTGGAGGCACACACTCTCTTTCTCTGTTGGAAACTTGTCATAAATTAATGCATTTGATTATTAGATTTGAACATAGCTCTTCCCAGTTTTCTAAATTTTAGGTTTCTAGATCCTGCAGGTAAAAAGAAGCTTCTGGAGGAGAAATTTGGAAAGTGGTGTGATGAAGTGATTGCTCTAATTCAGGAAACACCAGAGTCCATGATTTTACAGAGAGAAATCTACGACAGAGACATGATCTGCTCATGGGGAATCGGGCGTGTTGCTCTGCTAGGCGATGCTGCTCATCCATTGCAGCCAAATCTTGGGCAAGGGGGTTGCATGGCAATTGAGGTATCTGGTCTTTTTAGTCCATTTTATCGTTTCCATATCCGAAAAACGGAATGAGTTGTCTCTCATGATCTCCCACGTTGACTCATTTATGTGCAGGACTGTTACCAGCTTATACATGAGCTTGATCAAGTTCCCAATACCGGCTCAGATGCTGAAATTTCAGATGCAATTTGCTTGGCACTAAGACAGTAAGTTGTAGTTGTAGGTTTAAATCTTGAGGCATTGTAAAAATTACTTCACAAACTTTTGTGTGATGGTTGGTTAGATACGCGAAGAAAAGAATAAGGCGTGTTGGTATAGTGCATGCAGCCACCCGAATGGCATCAAAAATGCTTGCTATGTATCAACCTTCCATACAGTTTAAAACTGGTCCTCTGGCGGTGAGTTTTCTCCACCCCGTTTCCTTCGTCAAACTGGTCTTAGTTTTCTATTTAAAATAAAGAAATTAATTAATTAAATGATGTCATATTTCTATTCATTCTTGTGGTTGCAGCATCTCTCATCTCTGCAGATAACGTACCCTGCATTTCGAATGGGTCGGGCATTTCTGCAGTATCTTTTGCCAAAATTTATGACTTGGATGATAGCAGGGCACGGGTAAAGGAATATACAGAAAATATTTCAGTTCATTTTCTCATCGTCCACTTTTATGAGCATCGCTCATGTTCTTCTTCTTGCAGGTTAAGTCTCAAATCTCAAAGAGACAGAGACAGAGAAAGGGAAGCAAAACAAACTTAGATGACTTCTCTGTTAGAATTGAAGTTGATAACCCTCCAACTCAAATCAACTTCTGTGTTACGTGTAATATTATCGGGTTTTCCGGCGTGTAAAACAGATGATAGAAACAGTGATTGCATTGTACTACTTAAATAACAAATCCTTCCTAATAGTATACATATGAAATATATCTAAACCATGGGAATACAATTACAATCTGCCTAATTCTTGTTTAATTTCTAAACCATGCTGCCAATTAATTTAATTTACCTTCTAGAGCGTTTTCTAGGCCGCCTAGAAGCCTCCTGCTTCCCCCCATTTTCCCTGGGCCGCTTTGATGAAGCTACTACATTGGCCGTCTCGGCAGCCGCCTTCTTGGGCGGCCTTCCTACACTTCGCTTGGATGGACTGCTGCTTTCTTCCTTGGCTTGTTTCTTTTTATCACCGCCACTTTGCCTTAACACCCTTTCTTTGACTTTGTCAACCTTACCACCTCCCCTCCTCTTCTGCTCTCCTCCACCTGATCTAGTACTAGTGCCACTTCCACTGCCACTGCCGCTCTTCAATGTGTCTGCCGCAGGTGCATTGCGCTTAATTCTCTTCAAGAAATCCGCTGCTGCACTTCGCTTTTTGTCCAACGCTGCTGCCTCCGTTTTCGACTTCTTATCCGTTTTCGGAGTTTCCATTTGTTTCTTGGTGGAACCACTTCCATCCTTTTTATTATTCTCGTGATGCGTCCTTCTTGAGCTTCTGGTTCCAGTAGTTACAGGATTGTCTTTTGCCTTAGCACCAGCACCACCACCCTTATGCTCTTCCGCTACATCATCTTTTGAAGAGGCCTTGTTATTGTTAATGGGAGTTTTAACATCAAAAGCTGCCGCTTTCTTTTTCTCGTCACCTTGTTGTTGTTGTTTTGGTTGCTGCTGCTCACCCTTTGGTTTAACATCAAAGATAGAAGCAGCAGCAGAAGGCTTTGATGAAATGGAGCTTCGTTTCCGGCAGACGATGATGGGCGCAGTTGACTTGTGCTTGGCAAGCAAAGAGTCCGATCTTTCAAGCTGATCAGGACGTTTGGGCGGTTGCGTTGGAGGAGGAGGACAAGGTGGAGTTGTGGTGGGTGGTGGTGCATGTACAGCAGCAGCAGGCAATGAATCTGATGGCTCAGATGAAGGTGAAGGGTTGGGGGGTGGTCTAGTGATTAGATTATTCTTCTTCATTTCGTTTAAGACAAGGCGTCGAAGTTGGTGAGCAGTCAGCGACTCCAGAGAGGATTTGGGGAAGAAAACGACGGCGTTGTTGAAGAGGAGCAGCAGGTCTCGGTAGAATGAAAGAGCGCAAGACGAATATGCGTCCTTGTGGAGCTTGCTTTGTATTGTTTCCAAGTCCACATGCTGCTGGACCATGCTCTTGTACTTGTCACTTTCCTGTACACGCAGCCACATCATCATCATGCTCCGCTTTCGTTTTAAAATTTTCATGCTCACTAAAAATCTTCTACTTAAATTATTACAACCAAAAAATAATAATAATAATAATAATAATTAGTGACAGAAACTGAGAAACACAAAATCCATGCATGTTCTACAACAGTCCAAATGTGACTTTTGGTATACATAAATTTGACAGAATAAGTTTATCCCAAACAATAATACTATTTGTATCACATTTATCGTTTATATTGATAACCATCGTTTTAATAAAAGAAGGCCCCACCAATGTTTATAGGATTCACCTGTAATAGAAACGTTGTCAACACCCAAATGTTTTGATTTGGACATTGAAGCAGGTCTCAACAAACAAAAACAAGGGCCCATTCTATAGGGAAACTGCTATTGTGGTATCAGAAATTCACAATCCACCTCAGACCCAAAAAGAAACAGTTCCCACCCACCCACCCTATGGGCCTATGTAAGGCCTCGGAGGGCCCATATTGCAATATAAAAAATTAAATGAAAATAAATGAAAGGAACAGAGTATTTCCCTGGCATACATACATACAAAAAAGTATATAGCAACAAAAGAATATGCCAAGATTAAAAGAATAAGAAAACAATCTGAATGAAAAGCGGTGAGATGCGAGCCTCATGGGGTCCATCCATGGTCGTCGCATTTGTATGACACGTTTTGTTTTATAAATTTTTAAATTGAGTAGAAGGCTCCACGACCCTTACGGATCTTACGCTATAAGCAAAAGTACAAACCATATTTCTTTTCTTGGATTTTATACCAAATATCTTTAAGTCAACAGTAAAATCACTGTCTGTTTTTTAAAACAAAAACAAAAAACTGTATTTGAATTTGAATTTGTCAACACATGTTAAACACCAACACAAATCCTAAAATTTTGAATTGCAACCGATCTGACATATATATATATATATACTAGTCTGTCCGTACGCGTTTCTGGACCTACAAGAGGCTTTTTTTTAAAAAAATTTAAATTTATTTTAGAATTAAAAATATAATAAATAGTTGTGTTCTATAAAAATAGGATTTATTATTTGATTTTTCTTTTAATTTTGAATTTTTTTCATATAAAAAAATATAAATTTACCATATTATCATCATTTAATTAATAATTTCAATTCTTAATGTTTGCATTAACCAAGGGCATTTTCTGGTATTTTGAACTCGAGTGCAGAGTGAAGTGCTCCTCCAACCAACTTGGCTTAGCCAATGTATGCCTATTTTATTTGTTCATATTACAACAATCCTGACCATCATTTATTTTCAACAACAGACTTACATGACAGATTAAATATTGCATCATTTAGTAATTAAAACTTCAAAAATTAGGTGGCTCTAACATTATTGTTTGTGGAATTCCAACACACCATACATGTGATATAACTAACACCACCAATATTTATGTATACCCTTTTTCTTTAATTAAGCAAAACTTACATTTTTTTTCTTTAAATACCATTGATATTTAAATTTTGGATAAAATATTTTGTTAAGACCACATTTTATATACCACTTCTCTAATACTGCTATCGAAAAAATTCGTGGTTAAGTAGAAGATTGTATATCTAAAAAAAATGTAGTGGTAGTAAATTCCACCAATAATGTTAGAGAATTGCATGCAAAATCCTAGACCCTAGGAGCAGGAGATAGATATTTATTCCCCATTGGAGAGAAGTCAGTAATTTCAGCCGCATGCGTATTTTTCATCCTACTGCTGAAACCAACAAAAAGTTGAAAACCATTTTGGAGTGGTCCCAAATTATTGGAAACATCACGACCACTTGTTTGCCTCATACAAGTCCGGTTTTAACCAAAAAAGGAAAAACCATGGCCAAATTATATACTCAAACTTTTAAAATAAAATTGTCAATGAAAATTTAATTTGGTATTTTTAATTTGGTTTGGTGCATGCATGTTTCGCAGTGTTTGGATTCGAATAAAATAAGAATTTAAAAATAAAAGGAAAAGAAGAAATGGAATTACGAAAATAATCAAATTGTAAAAATAAGTAAAATACCTGGGTGGGAAGCCGTCGCTCGAACAATGAGCTATGCTCGTGCGCTCGGATCATCTGCAGGACCCCAACCAACGGCTGTGATTTCACCAACAATAACTCCTCGTTGTTACGCTGCTGCTCTGGCACCTCCACTCTGCGACGTCGTTTCCTGTTCCATTTCCTCGTCAAGCTCGCCGAACTCTGCGCCTCACTGCTCTCCCTCATCTCACCCGCCGAGTCACCACCGCCTTTCCCTTCGCGGCTCCGCTTCTTAGCCACCGTCTCCGAGCTCCCTTTATCCGACTCTGACTCGGAGTGTCCACCGCCCCCCGTCCCTTTAGTCGGTTCGCGCGAACCGTCCGGAACCGGGTGCCGTTCGGGTTCCGATGCGACGCGGTCTTCCCGGCCGGGCTTATTGTCCAGACTTTTGGAGCAGGTTGAATTGGAGCCGTTCACCGACTGGTTCTCTTGGTCCGGTTTGGACCGGTCCGGTTCGTCTTGAATATTTTTGTCGTTTTCTGATCTGTGTCCCTTGGAGTCCTCCTCCTCCAGATCTGGCTTGGCCTCGTCATCCTTGGAGCTATCTTCTCGTTCTTCCTCCAGCCTCTTCACCTTCAACTGCAACGACCTGAGAATTAATTAAGACAACCAACTCAGATCTAAAATTTTACGTGAAAATTTTTCCAAAAACATAAGAATATAAAAAGATATAAAGAATTACACGATGGAGACGTCGTTGCGATGGAGCTCTTGACGGAGTTGAGCGACGCGGAGTTTGCGGAGGTCGTCGAGCCAGGGAATACTAGGAGGATCGTGGTGGTGGTGGTGATGGTCTGGTGGCGGGGGGGAAGGGAGGGCAACGTCGTCGTTTTGATGTTGGGAGGAGTAGCGGGAGTTGAAACGGCGGCGGAGGTCGTGATACTTGAGCTTGCAGTTGTAGGCGGTGGTGAGGAGGTGAGGGAGAGAGGTCTTGGCTTGGAGTTCCATGGCGACGCTGTCCCAGTCGTTGATGCCGTGACGCTTCACGGCACATGCTAGCAAGAGCTCCTCCCATGTCCCCCAGGAAGACGTGAACGTCGTCGTTTGGTCTTGTAATTCTGGTTCACTATTATTGCTGTTATTATTATTAGTATGAGTAGTAGTAGCATCGTGAGTAGCAGTGCCGCCAGTGGCCCCTTCCATCATGACGACGAGGATACCTCTCTACCTCTCTACCTATCTCCCTCTCTCTCTCTCTCTCTAAGTCGGGATTGGAGTTTGTGTTTGCGTCTGGTTTTTATATCATCATATCATTTATATTGTTCAATCTCAATATATATTTCATTCTCATCCCTCCATTTTGTGCTTTCAAATATTAGTACCGTCTTTTTTATTTTTTATTTTTCCAAATTTTTATTTTGTCTTTGCTTTTTGGGTTTAATTAATTAAATTAAACACCTAACCTACTAAAACAAAATAGATTTTTGTAATTGTTGTTATTATTCTTGGATTGGGTGGATGGGTAGCTTTCTTTTTTTTTCTTTTTTTTTTTTCTTTTTGTTGTGTTTATGTTATGTATATATATATATATATATATAT